CATCGCGGTGCGGGCCGTATTAGCGAGCCGTTCGGTCACCGTGCTCTCTTTCAGCAGGTTGCCGAAGAACAGCATGCCGATCAACACAAGCGACCCCGGCGCGATCATCGCGCATATTAAAAAGGCGGCGATCGGGAAGAGGATCCGCTCGTGCCGCGATACCTGACGCGGCGGTCGCATCCGGATAAGTCTCTCACTCTTCGTGGTTAGCAGCCGCATGACCGGCGGTTGAATCACCGGCACCAGCGCCATGTAGGAGTAGGCGGCAATGGCGATCGCCCCGAGGAGGTGCGGGGCCAACTTCGCCGATAGGAAGATAGCGGTCGGCCCATCGGCGCCCCCGATGATGCCGATTGCCCCCGCCTCGCTCGGCGTGAAGCCGATGAACATGGCGCCGAGCAACGTCAAGAAGATGCCTGCTTGCGCCGCCGCCCCCAACAGGACAAGCTTCGGCTCCGAGAGCATCGTCGAGAAATCGGTCATCGCCCCGATGCCCAGGAAGATGAGTGGCGGAAAGACGCCTTGGCTGACTCCGAAGTAAAGGTAGTGCAGCACGCTCCCCTCGTCGTACACGCCGAGCGCCATGTTGTCGGCGCACGGGATATTGCCGACAAGGATGCCAAACCCGATCGGGCAAAGCAGCAAGGGCTCGTAGTCCTTGAGGATTGCCAACGCGATGAAGACCAATCCAACGAGGAGCATCCCCAGATTGCCCGGCGACATCTGATAGAAGCCGGTGGTCTTCAAGAACTCGAGCAGGATGTCCATCGAGCGGATTGCCGAGCGTTACGGGCTTGGTGGCGAAAACGGTAGTGCGGTGCTCTATCGGTCCGATTGCCGGGTCGCATGAACGGCCCATCCGATTGCCGCAACGAGTCGCGGATCGACGTCATCGTCACGTGCGGACTTTGTCGCGGCGCCCTTGCCAGATGGCAGGTCGTGGTGCGATTCGATCTCGGGAAGGTAGGGCCCGAGCGCGCTGAGTAACCTCGGCAGAGCGGCAATGAACAGGCTGATCGCCGCTAGCGCCGCAAAAACGATCAGCAGACCGGTGATCGTGATCGCAATTCCATTCCCATCGATGATCGCTCGGACCCCGGACAGATTCTCTGCGAAGAGAACCCCGGCTTGGGCGTTCAGCTGCATATCGAGCACTCCGTCAGTGGTACGCCAGCGCGCCTGCCGCAGGGGCGAGCGGCAGACATGATACCCCGCCGCGGTCTCGCTGCACGCCCCCGAAGACGGGCCGCGACGAATTGACTCCTGTAACTTCAGCGACGTCGTTCGTTCCGACACGCCGACATGCCGACATCGATTTACTAGCCCAGTCTCGCTACGGCCGAGGGCGTTGAGTTAGACTGAGGCCGCTGGCGACCGGTCGTGTCGCCGCGGAGCCCTCGTAACGGGCGACACGCCGATCGTTCCGCAACAGCAAATCGCCGTGAAGTGCGCCGGCTGTGGGCGGGTCTACCACCTGCCCCCGCTCACGCATGAAAAGCACGCCAAGTGCCGTAGCTGCGGGCATGAGTTCGTGATCGAGGCGAGCGTTGTCACTCGACCTGTTAGGCGGCGGGTGGCCAAGCATCAAGGGGTCGGCGAGCGCGCAATCGCCGCCGCGTTGGCCGCCAACCTCGCAGCTTNNNCAGCGCCCTCTGGTACTCGCGGCGGTTGCCCTCGCCGCCATCGGTCTAGCCGGCATCGCGCTCGTGCCGTTGGTGACGGCCGATCGCAACGAAGCCCCCACCGTCTCACCGCACCAGCGTTGGGGACGCGACGTGAAGCTCGCCGCGGCGCGAATCGACTCTCCGTTCGCCACCGTCTCGGACCTGATCCGGACGATCGAACCGGCCGTCGTACAAATCGAGACACGTACAGGAGTGGGCAGTGGGTTTGTCCTCGACCCTGCGGGCTTGATCGTGACGTGCCTTCATTGCGTGGAAGACGACGTTTCCGCCCGTGTCGTTTTCGCGGACAATGGTGTGCTGGAGGTCGAGGGGGTTCGCGCGATGAGTCCGGGCAGAGACCTCGTCATCCTGCAAGTCGCCGCACCGCAGCCGCTCCCCTTCCTGAGGCTCGCCGAGGCCCCGCCGCAGAAGGGCGAGCCGGTCGTGACGTTCGGGTCGCCTGCCGGACTGTCTTTCACCTTTAGCGAGGGATCGATCAGTGCGGCGCGCACGGTAAGGGAGGTCGAGCGCATCGCGCGACAACTTCGAGGGGGCGGCCGGCTGGACCTTTCGCCTCATTGCGCCTTGCTCCAGTTCACAGCGACTTCTATGCCCGGCCACAGCGGAGGACCCGTGTTGGACTGGTTTGGCAACGTCTTGGGCGTGACGTCGTTCGGACTCCCCTTCGAGGGGCGAAGCTTTGAGTTCGCTATCTCGGCGATTGAGATCCGCAATCTAGCCGCTCAGCTCGACGCCAATGCGACGCCGCTCAGGAAGATGTGGCCCGAGGAACCGGCGGATCTCCCCTCCTTTGACCCGGAGAGTGGGTCCTGAAGGCGCCAGCGCCGCTGACGACCAGAGGCTTCCTCGTCGGGCAGGCGACCACCTCCCGCCGACGGCAGCGTCGCGCACCACTTAATGCTTCGGCCGGTTACAATCCAGCCATCGCTAGCGGCGGCGGATCGCCCTCAGCGCCCGACCCCCTCTTTCAATTAATCGCATGCACTGGAACTACCTCTTAGCAACGGCCGTGTTGTTTTCAGGGATCGGCACGGCGTCCGCCGCAGGGCTCATAGGGTTTCGGTTCACGGCCAGCCTTGCCATTGAGGCAGAACTCTTCGGCCACTCGATCGGCCCTGACGACGCCGTGAGCGGCCACGTGGTGTTCCGGCCACACACATCGACCCCGGCGCCCATGGCGAACTGCGACGATTGCGCCGCCTACCCAATGCGGATGTTCAATGGCTTTATGATGCAAGTCGGGCCGCTCTCGCTCCGCTATCACGACTACTTGGCTGGCGTTTCGAACGACGGGCCAGGGCTGTTCCCAGACACGACCGAGGACGTCATTGCCTTCTCAAAGAATGTAAGTCCTTCCGAGTCGCCAACGCGACTCGTCAGCGTCAACGGAGTGCCAGTTGAAACGGCGGCGATGGACTTGGCGCTCGTCGCCAACTCTCTGTACGTCGACTCCCCCCACCTACCGCTCGACCCTCAGCCGAGCGACTTCCCGATTGGCAATATCCTCGTCCGAGATGGCGAGAACTTGGTGTTCGGGTTCATTGATTTCGGCAGCCTTGAACGCTTCGTCATCCCCTTAGGCGACTACTATCTAGACGGCGAGGTTGACGCCTTGGACTTCACGACGTGGCGCACCGACTACGGGACGATCGGCGTGTCCTCGGCCGATGGCAACCTCGACGGGGTTGTCGACGCCGCCGACTACACGATCTGGCGAGATCGCTATGGCATGCCGCCGCTCGGCGTCCCCGAGCCGACCGGCGCCGCATTGACGGTGACCTTCCTGACGATGGCCTGCGGGAGCATGCGGGATGAACGGCGCCACTGAGCGACAGCCCTCGTGGGGCTTTACGATTGTAGAATTGCTGGTGGTCATCGCAATCCTTGCGGTGCTCGTGGCTCTCCTGTTGCCTGCATTGCAATCCTCGCGCGAGTCGGCTCGCTCTTCTGCCTGCAAGAACCACCTGCGGCAAATCGCGTTGGGTCTTTGGTTGCACGAAGAGACCCATGACTTCCTTCCGGCAGGCGCTAGTTCTGCGCCCTACCGAACGATGGGAACATCGTGGATCGTCGAGCTGCTCCCCTACCTTGAGGAATCCGTCATTTACGACGCGTACGACCGGCGGTCGATGCATAGCGGCGAGATTGGTCTGCACTCACGCAACCGCCGAGTGGTGGAAGGGAAGCTAATCCCCCCCCTGCTCTGCCCCTCGTCTCCGATCCCAGCCATGAGTCCTTTTCACGGATCACTATCGCCACTGACGAATCCTTCGTACGTAGGCGTTGCCGGGGCGTCGAGCGCTGAGGGCTACCTTGAAGCCCGCGTCTCGGCTTGCTGCCTACCGAGAGTCGATGGCGATATTAGCGGCGGTGGATTGCTGCCACCCGGACACGCCGTCCGCTGGCGAGAGGTGACCGATGGCGCCTCGCGCACTCTGCTGGTGGCGGAACAGACGGACTTTGCCTATAGCTCCACGGGCTATCCACATCGGGTTGACGGCGCCGTCTATATGGGCTGGACCGCGGGGACCAGCTCTCCCGGCACTCCCCCGAACTATGCGGGAGTAAGCCCGGCCTACAACGTGACGACGGTGCGTTACCCTCTCAACACCAAGCGCTACGAGTTGCCCGGCGTCAACGACAACCGAGGGCCCAACAACCCGCTGCTCTCGGCGCACCCCGGTATCGTCAATGCGGCGATGCTTGACGGCTCGGTTAGGGCGTTGCACGAATCGCTAGAAGTCATCGAGCTCAAGAACTTGGCGACCCGTGACGACGGCGCGGCGACTCGCTTGTAAGCGAAGAACGTACGGTAAAGGACAACGGTGCAACCTACGGTCGGCGTTCCTAAATACAGTCCATGCCACCATCGGAACCAGTGAGGAACGTGGCCGTGCCCAACAGGACAGACCCTCCAGGACGCAAAGCCCTCTTCGTCTTGCTCGTGTTGCTATCGCCGTTGGCAGTGTTCTTGTGCGGCTTCTGCTGTTGCCTGGGAGTCATGCAGTTCGAAGGTGCGGCGATGTATGGGCTGCCAAAATCAGGCGCGATGCTGGCCTTCTATGTGGGGGTTGGCGCCGGCTTGATCTTGACGGTCTATCTCTTGATTCGCCTCCGCAAGAAGCTGTTCGCTAATCAACCAATGCCACAGGAAGACGAAGCAAATGATGGCTGAGCCTCTCCACGCCAGCGATCACGCCTTCCTCGGCATGACGCAAAGCCTCTGCCCCGAGTGCTTGGAGGTCGTGCCAGCGAAGATCCTCCGCCGCGACCGGCGCGTTTACTTTCGCAAGCGATGCCCCACGCACGGCGTGCGAGAGGACTTTGTTTCGGGCGACGCGGCGTGGTTCGATCGGCACGTTGGCAATAACATCGGCAAGACGCCGCATCGCAGGGCGGTCGGGCCGCGTCGGGGGTGTCCCTACGACTGCGGTCTGTGCACCGAGCACGAGCAGCACACGTGTCTAGCGCTGCTCGAGATCACCAGCTCTTGCAATCTGACCTGCCCGATGTGCTTCGCCTCGAGCGCGCCGGGCGGAAGGCATCTATCGCTCGAGGAGTGCCGCCGAGCGATCGACGCCCTTGTCGCGGCGGAAGGACGCCCCGAGGTGCTCCAGCTCTCCGGAGGCGAGCCAACAATTCACCCCGCGCTGCTTCCGATTATCGATTACGCCCGCGATCAGCCGATCGACATCTTGATGATCAACACGAACGGCGTCCGCTTGGCAAAGGATCGACAGCTGCTCGAAGAACTTGCCGCACGGCGCGATCGGTTAGAGATCTATCTTCAGATGGATGGCTTCCGGGACGAGGTCTATCGCCGGCTGCGCGGCGAGGACTTGCTTGAGACGAAGCTTGCCGCCATCGAGGCGTGCGGCGAGGCAGGCCTCAACATGACGCTGGTCGCAACCTTGCAGGCGGGCGTCAACTTCGGCGCCGGCGAGGTTGGTGAGTTGATCGATTACGCTTCCGCACGGCCGTGGGTGACCGGCGTCAGCTTCCAGCCGGCGACTTACTCGGGCCGTCACTTCTTGCCGGCGGAATTGGAGATGCGCGTCACGCTGCCGGACGTGATCCACGCCGCGGAGCGAGAGACCGCAGGCCGCTTCCGCGAAAGCGACTTCACACCGCTGCCGTGTGCACATCCCAACGCCCACGCCATCGCTTACGCCTATCGGTCGGGCGGCCGCGTCACACCGCTGGCGAGGCTGATCGACCTGGGTGAGCACATCGATCTGCTCTCCGGCCGGATCACGTACACACGTCCGCGGGCCAAAAAACTGATCGAGGAGTACCTCAGCCGCCAGTGCTGCGGACCCGGTGGTTGCGGCACGAGCGGTTGCGATCCCATTGATTCACCCCCAGCGACGCTAGGCATGAACTTGCCCGTACTCGAAACGACGCCGAATACCGATACTGACTTGGCGACGATCGGGCTGGAGTTCGTCGAACGAGCTATCTCCGAACGACTCGACCCGTGCGACGTCTTCCGAGTCACCATCACTAGCTTCATGGACGCCTACAACTTCGACCTGCGGCAGTTGATGCAGTCTTGTGTCGCCTTTGCGCTGCCGACGGGCCATCTGATCCCTTTCTCGGCCTACAACGTCTTGTACCGGGAAGGTCACGCGCCCTTGCCGCCAATCGCCCCGATGGTAGACGTCGTTCCTCTTGGGTCAGGTCGATGATCGACCCGGTCTATACGCTCATCATGGCTGCCGCGGTGCTAGCCGGCGGGGTGGTGCTCCACCGCAGCCAACGGTCGCTGCCGATCGACAGAACCGATCGCCTGGCGATCGGCTTCGCCGCGTTCTGCGGGGCGATGATCGGTTCCAAAGCGCCGTTCGTACTGGCGGGCGATGCGGCATGGTGGTCGGCGCCGGCTTGGCTTGCCAATGGCAAGACCATCCTCGCCGGCCTCGTCGGCGGCTATTTGGCGGTCGAACTCGCCAAGTGGGCCTTGGAGATTCGCACGAAGACCGGCGACTCCTTCGCGCCGGCGGTGGCGGTTGCCGTGGCGATCGGTCGGCTGGGCTGTTTCCGTGCGGGGTGCTGCTATGGCGTCCCGACCGACGCACCTTGCGGCGTTGTCTTTCCACTCGCAGACCAGTTGCCGCGTCACCCAACCCAACTCTACGAAGCTGCTTTCCACGCCGTGATGGCGATCGTGCTTATCACGCTCCAGCGTCGAGGCTTGTTCCGCGGCCAGTTGCTGAAACTCTACATCATGACTTATGCCGTTTATCGGATGGCGACCGAGACGGTCCGGCCTGAGCCGACCTACATCGCAGGGCTGACTGTCTACCAAGTGGCTTGCGTCCTCCTAATTCCGATATTCGCCTTCCTGTGGTGGCGCGACGCCCGCTACTCGCACTTACCGACAGGCCCTCAGCTCGACCCTATCGAATAACCATTAACGTATCTCGTCGTAGCGGAAGAGCGGCGCCGCGCTCCGCACGCAACGAAAGCCGATCCCCCGTTTGCCGATGACGTCCGGGAGTTCGCTGCGGTTGGTGGGGTCTCGAGACGCTTCCGTAAAACGGAGGTCGCCCTCGATTGTCCCGCCGTCGCCGCCCCGCACCACCGCGAAGTCGAGCGGACGAGCCGGGTTCAACCCCTCGGCAGGCATCGTCCATTCAGCGACGCCCGAACAGAGCCCGCGGATGACTCCCTCCAAATCAAGCCGATCGATAGCCGCGACATTGCCTTCGAAAGTTGTGTCGGCATCGGGAAATGCGTCGCCCCACGGGAATCGTGAAGCGCCGCGCGCGGTCGCCGCAAACTCGTACTCTAGTTCTGTTGGCAGCCGTTTACCCAGTCGCTCGGCGATATCAATCGCCATGAAGTACGAACCGGTCCAGGCGCCGCCATCGTCGTTGCGATGCTCAATAACATCCATGTAGTACGCTGGGATTGCGAATCGGCCGGTAGCGCCTTCCGCGCCGCCCGGTGCATAGCCGGGCGTACCGTCTACGTAGACCATATCCCCGGAGACTTCGGCCGAGGGGACCTGAATCGGCGGGAGCCGAACTCCACCTGTAGGGAGCGCCGCGTTCGTCCGATACTTGCCGGGGCTCCCAATAACGTTGTCGATCGCCCGGACGACCCGATAGACTTCGTGAAATCCACCGTCTGGCGTCACCGCGACCACGAGGTACGGTCCCGGGGCGAGCCGCGCCTGGATTCGCCCCTCGCCTCGGCCAAAGACGGCTTGCCGCGGGTCGGGAGAGTCGCCGCGATCTCCCAACGGGACGAAAGCGACACGGGCCGTGGGCGGATCCACAAGGACCTGCACGTCACGCAACGCTGCGTCGCCGGGCGCCGGGCCCATCACGTTGGCGAGCACCACCGCCGATGCCGTGATAATCGCGGCCGTTGCCGTCCAGCGAGACTCCACCGCGCGCCGGAGCCCCAGGGCCCACCGAGAGGGATGACGCGCTTGAACCGTCTGGCCTTCCAAGTAACGCCTCAAGTCGGCGGCGAGGTCGGCGGCAGTGGCGTAGCGATCGGCGGGCAGCGTTTGCGTCGCCTTAAGACAGATAGCGGCGAGGTCGCTAGGGGCCGCCGGCTGTAACCGCCGCGCGTCTAGCCCTATGCCTGTTAGGTTTCCTGCGCGGGAGCCGGCGTTGGGGAGGGCCGGCTGGCGGCCTGTGAGGGATTCGTAGAGCACAGCGCCAACGCCATAGATGTCGGAACGCTCGTCCGCTTCCGC